GTCGCCTGGTATTAGAGAAAAAAATTAGCGAGAAAATGATCGTTGAAGTTTGGTGAATTTCAACGTCTTGAAACTGCAAATTTGCATTTTTTGGTGTTTCTCTTTGATCAACAGTTAAATCCACTCAGAGACGTGTTTTAAATTGACGAAATAGTGTTCAGCCTCATCAATTTCGATAAAAATTGTCCAACGGGAGGAAATAATGATACATATAATATGTAGGTTTCTTCGATGTCATTATTTTGAAGAGCGCCTGGATTCACCACGATGTCACACATATACTCATCTTGATACACCCGAAAACAAACATTGCCCACCAAGTCTCAAGATGAATTCAGCAAGTGAGGAGAAAGAAAGGAAGGCTAAAAAATACTCGGAGGAGGGACTTAATTTCAAACCTTAAGACGATGATATACTGCTATATCATACAAAGGTGGATTGAAGTACGTGGAGAGCTCTTCATGGTGTAAGGGGTGAGAAGAACTGCTGCTGCTGCTGCTGCTGCTGCTGCTGCTGATGTTCTGAAGTGTTCAAAAGACACCCATCATTATAACTTGTTTCTTCTAAGCAGAAGACTTCCTTGGCCCTGCTTGCTAAGGCCAAACCTTTCTGTGAGGGACACGCTTAGACTCGACACACTTGCATCTTTGGCTATTTTAACTTGTCTGCTTTTTCTGTCACGCACAGTGGATATGTCTGTCGAAGAGCGCGCGTTTGAAAGTGTATAATGCACTGGTTACAGAGTAACTAAAAAGAAACGAAAGTATTTTCTAGCTATTTCCTTCTTCTCGTGTCTATTAGCCGTAAACGTAAGGGATTCAGATTTTATTTTGTATAAGAGCAAAAAATCTCTTGTTGACACCACCGATTTTTTTTCAATCGCGGGAGTAGTACTGTTGTATTCAATCAAACTTGTTTTTATTTTTACTTTTCCAGCCCTGTTGCGCAACCGATCAACCCTGGAGATGAGGACGTTCCACCTACGCCAATGATCAAGGTGAGTGGAGTATACCTTTAACAAAAGCTTTGTTTTATACTTCACTACCCTACCCCCCCCGGCCATACTTAAACATCATTATTGTAAAACGTGGAGGTCATACGACTATCACAGGTGACCGATTCCACTTGGTCAGAGGTATCTAGTACACCACAAGCTTGCGCGTTGAAAATGAAAGCTTTTATTACACTATTGTTACAAGTAACCGTTTCGCTTTTCCTTTCAGACCAACGAGGAGAGAGTGGCCAATGAGGAGTTTGACAAACTAGCAGGGCTGGAGGGAATGATCGACGCTGCTGAGCTCGAGCTTGTCTTCGGGAAAGCTTTAGTCTCTGGTAGGTCAATAAGCGTAGCTTGAATCAGTAAGATAAGATAAGATGAGATAAGGTAAGATAAGAGAAGAGAAAAGAAGAGATGAGATGAGATGAGATGAGATGATATGAGATAAGATACGATACGATAATATAAGATAAGATAAGAGATGAGATGAGATGAGATGAGATGAGATGAGATGAGATGAGATGAGATGAGATGAGATAAGAGAAGAGAAGAGAAAAAGGAGATTGACACTTTTGTTTTCTGCACTGCATTGCATCTTTTAAAAACATGAAAACTGTCCCTGGTGTCCACAGATGACAAGACACAAAAAGCTGGCTTCAACACAGAAACATGCAGATGCCTCGTCGGTCTCGCCAATGTATCCTTCCACATCATACCAAGTTGACGGCTCGTCGCTCTTGAAAAAAAAAATGTAAAAGATATTTTTGCACTGCATGTCACGTATACGAATAGAGATTCCAATTTCTGTCAGGACCTACGATTTTATTTTTCAAAAATTCTAATGTAGATGTTTCCCCCCCCCCCCAAAAAAAAAAAAAAAAAAATTTTTTTTTTTAAATATTTAAAAAATAAAAATTAAAAAAATTAAAAAATAAGAAAAATAAAATATTAATCGACACAACTAGCCGTAGATCAATAAGAAGCAAGGTTTAACACTGCCAAGTCCGAATAAGAAGGATATAACGTCCCAGCAGAAATACTAATATACTTCATAAAAATTCTACTCACACGGGAATCGAACTCAGGTCTTCTATGTGCGATAGCGAAGCGCCTAATCGCCACCCCGCAGAGAGTATACCTACATCTATAGCGCGAAATGTGTACTTTACACTCTAGTTTTTAGTCCAATCATCACTGATGTTGATACTATGATCGTGGAATAAGGGAAAATAGCATAGTAAACTATCGTGAAAATGTGTCAAAATCGAATAAAGCGTCCTATAACCGAGCCCACTGTCTTTTTATAGTTCATCTGGTAACAGCACCACAAAGAGGGGACCAGCTCCATGACAATAAAATGAAATCTGAAAGGTAAGATGAAATATTCCCCTGGACTGACTTGAAGGACGCCTCTCGTCGTTTACTGATAGGCTCTGTGAGTAAATGGCATAGCAGCTGTGCTTTGGCGACACTTGTGTTGATCTGCAGCATCGCACAAAACGTTATAAAAGGTCAGATTTCAAACTGCGCTTTTTATAAATCATCATTATTTATCATACTCTAAGAATGAGAGAGAAACTTGATACGTTCATAAGAATCACTGTCAGAACATTGGATTTGCCGCTTCCATCAATCCGAATACTCTCTTCCTTTCTTTGTGAGTCACTCAGCAGACATGGATTCTCGTTCCCCGATTACTTTACCCATTTCTTCACACAGCGATTTATCCAGTAGACAACCTTTTTTTTTACAAACTATAACGACAGTTATAAAATGATCATAAATTAACAAGTAAGCCTTAATTCGAAGCATAGTGGAAGCACGGGTTTAGCTAGAGTTTTATGGCTGATAGTAATCAAATATTTAATTGCAGGAAAACAATATATTTTAAGCGTACTGGTATGGCATTAACATGGCTCTATAGAACAGAGAAAATGGAAAAAAAAATAAACGTTTGAACGAAATTACACCCTTTCGTTTTCCTTATGTGCGATCACAGACAAAATCGTCGAAAGGGTTGATAGGAAAGGAAGACTTCCAGAAACTGTGGTCAGACCTGTACTTGTGGAGGGTAAGTTATGTTTTTCTTTGTCTGCCATGGTATACATTTATTTTACTCATTTCAGTTAGCTGCATTCCCCATCTATCTATCTATCTATCTATCTATCTATCTATCTATCTATCTATCTATCTATCTATCTATCTATCTATCTATCTATCTATCTTTCTATTTATCTATCTATCTATCTATCTACCTATCTATCTATCTATCTATCTATCTATCTATCTATCTATCTATCTATCTATCTATCTATCTATCTATCTATCTCAAACGAAATGTCGCCGTTGTGCTAGAGTCACACCAGTAAGGATGTTATGCTTTGAAAGAAAGAGAAAAAAAATAATGTGCATATTATTATATAAATATGTAATATATATGTATATATATATATATATATACAATTTGTATATCATGTCATATATTATACATATTATATTCTATAATATTATACCATTATAGATAGATAGATAGATAGATAGATAGATAGATAGATAGATAGATAGATAGATAGATAGATAGATAGATAGATAGATAGATAGATAGATAGATAGATAGATAGATAGATAGATAGATAGATAGATAGATAGATAGATAGAGAGAGAGAGAGAGAGAGAGAGAGAGAGAGAGAGAGAGAGAGAGAGAGAGAGAGAGGGAGAGAGAGAGAGAGGGTGCCAAGAAGAATATGGATATAGGTAAGTTTGTAAGTCATTTATTCACTGTAAAGTAAAAAGATGACTCTCCTACTAAAATGCTCCATATACTCGTACAATTATTTACTCAGCTAATGCTTGAATCATTATTCTTATTCAGATTCTTATTCTTTTTTGTTCTTTTTCTTGTTCTTGTTCTTATTCTTATTCTTATTCTTATTTTACCATTGAGGATTTAATCTTGTTTTATTTCGTTTCAAAATTAGAAAGCTTTCAAAGCAATTGATGTTAACAAGAGTGGGACATTGGATGCCTCTGAGCTGAAAGAACTGTTCCGCTTGATAGGTGAGAGTTCTTCTTAATTCCATTTTTATTGGACGACCTTTTCGGCGTTAATTTGAAAGCCAATGGCTTTGACCAAATAATATAACTTAAAGCAGTCAAAGGAAGGGGGAAACAATAGACAGAAACGTTAATGTCCACATTTTTTCTTAGAAAAGAAGAATATTTATAAGTGCTGTTTTGACATTGAAGAGCTAGCCCCTCCAGCCAGTATGGTTGCGTCTTTTCTTTATCCCCACACCCACCCCCTTTTCAGCTCAGCCGCTAGAAAGGGAGCGGGGAGGGAGGGGAGAATTTGCAGTGATTGTTTCTTTACTGACTGGTGGAAAATATACTAGAAGTTGGAAAGCGGTTATTTTGTCGACTGTAACCGGAGATGACTACTTTTTTTTGGGTCTCTGCTGTAACTTCTACACGCCCTCTTTGACAAAATGCAGATTATACAGGGGGCTGGCTGGTTCGAGTGTGCCTGCCAGAGCCAACTTGGGCTGAGTGGGATTGAATATCCCAATAGAAAAAAACAAAGAAACTTGGTAAAATAAACTTTCGTATTCGGGGATCAACAAATCACATTCTACGTGGGGCATAATCCTGACATAGCCCTTGCAGGGGATATTCACTTATCACTTGAAGCTAATATGAGGGTTATCAAAATAAACTTAGCCCTATTTGTTGTCAGAATTATAAAGTTCTATTAGACATTTTTTGGCCGTTGTGAGTTACGAAAATAATGATATCAGAAATGAAATGCTCTATCTGCTCTATCAAAATCGTAAGATTATTCAGAGTCGTTATCAAAATATTCTAAGAATTGCAATCCTATAAGCTTGACATTCTGCGAAACTCAACATTTTTTACGTCAAAGTTCTTTAAACTGGGTACTGAGCAGATAGCACTTAGTAATTCTAAAGTAATGATAAATTCATGGATCCTGACGCAGTGCTTTTTATATAGATGTTGGTAAAATGTACAATAATTCTTGTGCTTTTCATTTGTGAAGAAATAAGAAATGTTCGTAGTTTTAGACATCCAGGGAAGCCTGGAAGGTTTAATAAGGGTCTGCTAGGTAATACTAGTTGTAAGGCGTATAGAGCATGTTGTGGAGAATGGGTATGGCTTATTGTGCAATCCAAGGGGTCCAAAATCTGTTGATGTAGAGTACTTAAGTACCTGGAATGAAAGGATATATTTCGCTTTCAACGCGAAAACAAATCTAGGGGTGATTTTTTAACCCAAAATTACCGATGAACCACCAAATTTATCATTTAAGTAAAGAACTCTCTTTAGAGCTGCACAGAACTGGGATACTGTCTGCATTCTTGAAGGAACATCTGTCGTGTTCTCTAGCATAGATTACAGCAACTATCTCTTTGAAAACCTGCCGAACATCACTGTCTTGAAACTACAGCGCTTTCAAAACTAAACTGCGAGAGTGGTGTCTAAAACAAGGAAGAACGAAAAACACCTCTATCTTAAGAAAACTCCCTTGGCCCACAACAACATCGAGCTTTACTTATAAGATTGCTGTCCTTTGCCATAAAAATGTTAACAATACAGCCCCCTCGTAGTTAATAAACTCACTCAAATGTATGTTCCACCAAGACCTCTAAGATCACGAAGTCTTTTGAGAAAGCCTAGGAAGGGAGGTTTAAAAAAAACTCGCAGGGGGGATGGGGGGGGGGTGCTTTTTCTTCTAGCCCCAACTATCTGGAACTCACTACCACAACCTGTGAGGGGTACAAAGTCGCAGGCAAACTATTATTATTATTAGGAAGTGTCTAGGTAGACCTCAATTGGGGACTACGTAGTCATGGTGGCTAAGTGCTCCCCAGAAATGCTGGATTGTGATTGGCCTACTTTATTTACACTCTGCTAGAATGGAGCAATAAATCTTGAGAGATGCAAAAAAATAGAAAGTCTAGATCTATACTCTCAAAACAAAAATTGATCATTCTCACGATGCTTAAAGCGGAAGCGGACATGTTTAAAGGTTTAGATCAGTGGTTTTCAAACTTTTTTCGCCCACCGCCCCCTTTTTCACCCAGCCGAGTCCGAGCGCCCCCTACTCCGCCCCAACCACCAATCTGACATAACGACATGCATAATATAATAACAATCACAAATAAAGAGCGAGCTAAAAAAGTAGGGTACAAAATAAAGTGCCTAAATTCTAATGATTTGGTTCTGAATATTAGTTGGGTCGCAAATCACTATCATTACAGAGTCTTAAATTAAGCGTGTACGAGAGATAATAAAACACATTGTTTCTTCAATGTCATGCAAGGGCATTGAAAACAAAATACTGTCATTTTATGCACATGTGTCATCGGTATTAAACGACCAGTGTTGTTAACATCAATAAAAGTAAAACATGTATTATGGCATTTACAGAAGCAAAACACGTTTTTTAAAAAAGAACCCCATAACAGTGATCATTCGTTTGAAAGCAGATTGACATTATTTTTATGAAACGTTTTCTCCCATCAAGGAGCTGCAATAAAGTTGCCTGAGATTTGTATATCAAATATCTCCATTGTAGAACATAAAAATATTATTAAGCTGTTCAAATGTGAGAAACCACACGAAAGAAAAAGTAGACATGGATCTTAGTCTGTAATTATCACCATCATCGTAATCATCGCCGTAACCATCATCGTCAGTTTCATCAGCAGTGGCAGTAGATGCACATAACAAACTCTATTAAACAAGTGAGTATTTTGCTTTAGAAAAAGAAGAAAGAAAAAAAAAAGAAAAGACGTATTCAGGTATCAGGTAAGGGTAAACTACGAAGTAAGCATATACAAATAAGTCATTGACACTGCCCTAATGGGAAGTACGGACCTGGCGAGACGAAACCAACTTATCAACATCAGGTTTCAGATTGGTCAGTAGCAGACGCTAACCGCCACGCTCTGTGATCCTTAGTTTTTTCCTCTGCTTCGAATCCCATTTCTACTAGACAGGAGGTGGGAAAAGCGATGAACAACAACTTGATATTTCCCCACAGGACGGGATATTTGTCTTGCACAATAGTTTTTAACCACAATGACTGGTACGACTTTTTGAACAATGGTTTGATTTCAAAGTCACTTTTCACTGTCAGCTCTTCTTCAATTGCCACTGTCAAGTCACCATCTGTTCCAGTGTTGTATTGAGTACCCAGTCTGGAATTTCCAGTTAAAAGATATCAGTAAGCCTTGTCTTCGCGATCATATCAGCATGCAAATCTCTAAGGTGGTTGGTATATATTCCTAGTTCCTCATTAGAAACCCGCCCTTCTTTTTTAGTGTCTCTGTCAAGCTAGGAAACTGAGCAAGTTCTCTTCTGCCAATCTTTCGGTGAAACATTTCCAATTTCAACAAGAATGACGAAAGCATGGATTTTGCTTTGATCAGGTTGGTGTCATCCCCCTGCAGCTGCAAGTTGAACTGGTTAAACTTTGTGAAAAGATCTGTGAGGAACGAAATGTTCTTGTGTTCTTTCAGTTTATTGCAGAGATCGCTGTCTGTTTCTTGAACAAAGCTCCAGCACAGAGTCAAACAGACAGAACAATAATTGTGTTAAACGGTTTCCTTTTGAGAGCCACCGGACTTCAGTGTGCAAAAGAAAGAATTGAAGGTTCTCGTCATTTCAGCGCACAGCTGTTGGAATAATCTCGAGTTCAAAGCGTGGACTTTGATCTTGTTCACACACTTGATGACAATGGCTAGTGTGTCATGCAGACTTTCATTCAGGGTTTTTGCCACCAAATTCTGTCTGTGAATGACACAACAAACAGTTAGTACTCCAAGGACTGATTTCTTCAAGAAACTCATAAATTCACGGTACCGACCAGTCATCGACGGTGCTCCATTTGTTGCATAGGCAACTATATTGGCCAGAGGAATCTGTTTCTCCTCAAAAAATTCTTGAACCACTTTGAAAATGGACTCGACTTTGGTATCTGTTTCCAATATTTTCGCAAATAACAATTCTTGCATTATCTACCTCACCCTCAATGAACCGATATCCAGTTGAAGGATGAACTCACGTCCTTAAAGCATTTTGCACAATGACTCCTTAACATTTGTTGACATCCCATCCATACGTCTTTGAACGGTATTGTCACTTAATGACAAGAACTTTCAACACAGGCTCCGGGGCATGGTGCAGGACTGTGCTGACCACCTCTCTTATCGCAGGTAATGAGGTCCTCACCGAGAGTACGTGGTTTGCCTGCCTTTGCAATAAGCAGAGATAAATTATAAGTTGCTCGTAAGTCTTCATCAGCTTGATCGACGTCGGCTGCAAACATCGATTTAATTGATTTTTATTTCTGAAAATTGATCTTTAGAGTTTTGAAGTATGCCAGATCTTTGTCAGATTTGCCGGGATAAATCATCTTTATAATTATTTATTATGGGCTTTGAGTGCTGGAAAAGAAAGTTCTTAGTAATAAGTAGTATTGTAAACTATGCCTAAGTTATCAATTTTTGTTTTTGTTTTTTTATGTGGCTTCTTTCCCTTCACCATTTTTTATGTTGCATTTCATGAAAATTTCACACCGCCCCCTTTACGCCCACCACCGCCCCCCAATCGCCCAATTTCGCCACAGCGCCCCCCAAACTGTCGCCACCGCCCCCCTGGGGGCGGTAGCGCCCACTTTGAAAACCACTGGTTTAGATTAATGGAGAAAAAGAATGAATCACTTGTGGAAGAGTAAAAAACAAAAAAAAAATTAAAAGAAGAAGAACTTGAAGTTATAAAAATAAATATACAGGTGCCGTGTGCACTCTTCAACCAACGCGAATGTACCTTGTACATTTTGAAATCATATGGTTGGGTGGTTTTGGAATTTTAAGCAACCGAAAATTGCCAAGTGCCCCCCCCCCCCCTTCTACACAAATATAAAGTATGTCCACAAAGTCTTGACATTGCACTGTGGCCTATTTTTTCCTCTATTTTAATGTAGTTTCAAAACACAGTACAGTGTTCTTCATGAGACGTGTTCACATTTTAACCAAGCACATCAATGAGAAATAAAAACACTAAAATAGAGGAAAATAGGTCATAGGTCACAATGCAATGTCAGCACTTTATGGACGCACTGTATATAGATTGGCGCTGAGAAAAACAAATGAACAAGTTTACCACCTTCTAAACACAAGTCCGGGATTATTACAACAGATAAAAACTAGAAATTTACAGTATTTCGGACAAATAAAATACCATTCCTTAATCTGCAGGACTATACTAGAGTGTAAAGTGGAGCGAACAAGACCGACAGACACATGATGGTAGATTGGGGTCTACGGGAGCCATGTTGGCAAGGGGCTCCCCAATTGGGGTCTACCTGGACACTTTCTTACTATTATTATTATTATTATTATTATTATTATTATCATCATCATCATCATTATCTTTATCATCCATAATATCTACAAGGGAAAGTTGATATGTTTTAAATGTTTCTTTTTCCGTAATGTCATTGTTGTTTCAAGCGAGGCAAAGTTTACTGCGTTTCTATCCTTTCCATTTATCAGATTTTTTATTCGACTATTAGCCAGTAACAACCTAAGATGTTACACAAAAAATTAAGTCCGTGTATTTCTGCAGATCCAGAGTTTTAGTCAAGCTGTCCGTGGTTTGTTGGGGCTCTAAAGCAGTACGCTCCTTTTCAGGTTTTCTTCAAAGTTCTTGTACATCATTATATTGCTATTTTGGAAACAAACTTACTTTAAATAATATTGTCAATTTCGACATGTTATAAGATGACCCATTTTGACTGGTTTTGCAGATTTTGGGGACAGCAAGGAGGCTGTGGAAGGCATCATGAAGCGGTATGGAGGAAAGAAAGGAAAAATTTCAGAGGAGGATTTCCTTCAAGGGTTTTGCAAAACGTTGCAGTTGTTCAGTAAGTATGTTAGTGCATTTGTGTGTACTTTTTATAATGAAGTGGTTTATGCCCCCATCGACCGTATTTAGATCATTTAAGATGCGGGTCTCGACCCTTCCTGTAAGGCCCATCTGGGTAAAGAAGGAACAACATCTCAACAGAGATACGGACATACTCGATAGAGATTGTCTCAAGCCGGAAGTTGAACGCAGGTCTTCTGCGTGAGACGGCGAAGGTCCTTAGCACTACAGGACAGACGGTGGTGTGTGTGTGTGTGTGTGTGTGTGT